ATTTGGGGGCCTTGGCTTTTGCTCCATGACCTGTTACATGAATGGCTAGACTCTAGACTCTAGTTCTGTTGCCATTAGAGACCATTTTACCTCTCAGGGTGCTGGTTCTTTCATAGGTGAAAATCAGGGGGATTGTATGAAATAGAATCTAAAAAGTCCTCTTCAGATCTATTCAGTCTTTTCTGCTGCTTTACATTTTTAGGTTTTAATGTCAGTTTTGGCTATCAAGGAGAAGATTAAAGAGCAAATGCATTATTATCTCTGTGTTTTAGTTAAAAATATAGAAAGAGAACTGACTCAAAATCATGAACTCAAACACACAGTTTCCTAAGACTCATTTACATACTTTAAATTTGTCAGTAGCTTCATTAAATTCGTGTTTAGTATAATTTAAAAATAGCTAACATTTATTAAGCATTTCCTTGGTACAATGTCCATCAATGATAGACTTGGATTAAGAAAATGTGGCACATATATACCATGGAATACTATGCAGCCATAAAAAAGAATGAGTTCATGTCCTTTGCAGGGACGTGGATGAAGCTGGAAACCATCATTCTGAGCAAACTATAGCAAAGACAGAAAACCAAACACCGCATGTTTTCCCTCATAGGTGGGAATTGAACATAAGAACACTTCGAGACAGGATAGGGAACATCACACACCGAGGCCTGTTGTGGGGTGGGGGGAGGGGGGAGGGATAGCATCAGGAGATATACCTAATGTAAATGACAAGTTAATGGGTGCAGCACACCAACATGGCACATGTATACATATGTAACAAACCTGCACGTTGTGCACATGTACCCTAGAACTTAAAGTATAATTTAAAAAAGCATTTCCTTTGTACAAGGTTCTTTGAAAAACACTTTTTATACATTATATTATTTAATACTAAAAATAACCCTAAGCAGTAAATGTGATGATTAGCCCTATTTTAGAGAGAAGGAGATTGAACCTAACAGACACTACATAAATTGCCAATGTAACACATTTGCTAAGTTCCATGTAGTGTTTGAATCCAGACCTTTGTTCTGCATTATCCCATATAAAATAATATACACTATTTCAGTGTATTTTGTGAATTATGAAATGCAGAAGGCTTTCTTATGTTAACCAAAGAGTAACTCTCTGTCTTAAGATATGAAGGGCTATATTTGAACACCTGGACCTAAATATTCCTCACCCAAAGATATGACCAAAGAAAGAATTTGGAAATCCTAACTTTGAAGTAACAATGATACCTATTCCTTGTTTAGAATAGCTGTAGATCTCCAAAATTATGTGTTTTTAAAGAAATTTTACCTTAATCATGGACTGAATAATTATAGTCATATATTATGGTATGTGAATTACAAATATTTATTGTTACCTCATATTCCACACTCAACATGGGCAAGGAGAGAGCATTTATACAGCAAAATCAGTGAAAGAAGACAATTCATGACATTTTCTTTCATGGTAGAATTAGAAATGAGGATAAGGTATGAGGTTAATTGATTTATGTCTCCATGAAACCACAATGTAAACACAACTTTAGGTGAATATATTGGAGTAATTCATAATTTTTAATTCTATCCAGTAGAGGGAGATGACATGTTAACTATTACATTGTAATTTATACATCCATATTTTTAATAATTTCTTACAGAATCCTAATAGGTAAAATCTGGGATAAGCAAAATATTTTGATCTCTGAAAGACTTTGGAAGTGATATGAACTTAGTTCTTATAGGGAGTTAAATGTAACTCACTTTATTTGATTGTAATAAAGTTATAATGCAATACTTCAGATTTACTTGTGGATAAATGGAGAGTCTAAAATAATTTCATAGGGAGGGTAGAAAAGGTTTCCTTTATTAGTTAACAACTTTAAACAATTTTACCACATCTGTCTTATGTTATCATAAACAAAGTAGAAGGCTCTACTTTAGGTGTAAATCACAGGTATGGCGGCTGTGTGGTGCTCATTGGTGACTGGCACAATTTCTCCTCACAATGTGGAAAATGGTCACTCTCAGTCAGGATTCTTTTATCCTTGAAATCAATGATCAAATGAAATCAAATGGTAGACCTTTGACTAATAGCATTATTTTTTTATCTTCATAAAAATGTATATTATGAAAATTGTAATTGTTTTGACACAAATCAATACTAAAGTGAAAGCGCCAGAACTTACACATGTAAAAAAAAGACACCAGTATGGAAAAAAAGAAAATAAAACTTTCAATGAAGTGAAAATACCAGAGGTAGATTCCTGGTACGCAGTAGCTCACAATTTTTTTTTTTTTTTTTTGACCAGTTGAAGAATTGTTTTTTGTTTTTTAAATCATTTTCTTGGTTCCTTCTTTAATAGAACGATTTTTAAATATAAAGTTGAGATGAATAATTTAAATGTTTTCTTAAATGGCAGTAGAAATATAGATGAGTCATTTAAGAAACTCTAGACCTCGTCAACCCAATTACACCCATTTGAGCATTCAATTAACAGTCTGAAATAAATTTTCTTCTATCTTTCCCTCTTTGTTCTGGTAAGGGCTCTGCCACCCTCTTTACTTCCCCAAATGCAGCAAAACAAATGCTATCAATGAACAACTTTCATTGTTGGTCTCCAACTGACCTTGGTGTAGATTGTATCAGGGTGCCTGTACAACTTCTAGAACATTCTAGAAAAATATTGGTGAGGCTACAGGGCCTGGGTGATACCTATGAAGAGTACTCAAACACACAGGTTGACTAATTCACCAAATCTCACCTGGGGCTACAACTAGAACATTTTGTTATTCTTGATTTTGTGTTTTTGTTTCTGCATGAAGCTGCTACATAGAGAAGTGATTCTCACATTGGAGAGCACTGACTCCCAGAATTTTACCATGAGACTAAGATGTTTTTAACATGATTTACATGGATGCTGTTTCTTTGCTTTTGAGGCTGATTTTACTTTGGCTTCGGGTTAACTTCCAGAAGCATCCACAAAAGATTGGATCACTTTAAGCCTGTTGTGATATTTTTAGTTTTAATGAAAATTTTGTGGGTCACTGAAAGTGTTTATATCATATAGCAGATAGGATGTCACTCAAGCATGCTCATCAAATATCCTTTTTCCAAAATATTTTTTCTCTTTTATTTCAACAATCAGAAATTTTCTCTCATACCCATCTACCCCAAGAGTGCTTCCTATGTATCAAGGACAAATTAATTTATTACTTTCTTCTCAAAGAACTTTATTTTTTTAATACCTTTAATTAACTTATGCTTTCTCTTCTGTGTGTTTCTTGTACTTCTTGGTTTTAACCAATAGTCCAGAATGAAAAGTATGACTGAATATGTAAACATGATCTCCTTGGCCTTACACGTGTATTGGCCTATGAATGACTAGAATTAACTAGGAAGTTTTAAATCAATATTCAGACAACACAAAATAAAACAAACCCACTAATTTTGGGTGGGAATCATTTTTGTAAAACTAGTTAAATTCCCTTCATGTGTGAATTTCAATTATTTCTCCAGTTTCTATTAAATTTTGCAGTACGTAAATCATGCCCTAAATTACGCAACTTACTTTACTAATTTAAAAAATGAATTGGGGCTGGGCATGGTGGCTCAAGCCTGTAATCCCAGCGCTTTGGGAGGCTGAGACGTGTGGATCACCTGAAGTCAGGAGTTCAAGACAAGCCTGGCCAACATGGTGAAATCCTGTGTTTACTAAAAATACAAAAATTAGCCGGATGTGGTGGTGGACGCTTGTAATCCCAGCTACTCAGGAGATTGAGGCAGGAGAATCACTTGAACCTGGGAGGTGGAGGTTGCAGTGAGCCAAGATCGCGACACTGCACTCCAGCCTGGGTGACAAGAATGAAACTCTGTCTCAAAAAAAAAAAAAAAAAAAAACTAAGAATTGGAATTTTTAAAACCTTGACAATACACATACTTTTAGCAAATTTGATTCATGACATGTAATAGAAAAAATTTGGGGGGATGTATCTACATTATTCTGGAAGATAGTTAGTAACCAACAGCTTGGCATATGAAAGGGGACTTCTGAGAATGCTTAGGCATGAGGTTCAAACCTTGATTAAACCCTTTGGTTAGAAATGGTTTTTGGTCTTTTAATGACTTACGAATTCCTCGTCCTCTTTCTTGTTTCATACTTTTTACAGTCACACTGTGTCACATAGCATGGAATGGAATGATTTTATTACAATGCTTGTTAGTATCATTGATTGTGCTAGACTTAATGAATGAACAAGGCTCTCAGTGGATATTTCAAGTTGATTTATAGTGCTTTTTCTTTTTAAGCAAACATGGAACAAAGTCCATGGAGCTTCCTCTCATTGCTCATAAACATGGCCTGCTTAACATGTAGTGCAAAGAGCACATAAATGGAACTGAAAGGACCCAGGCCCAGGATTTATTTACTCCACTGGGTCCTAATTGTGTGGCATTGGCTATACCACTCTGCCAATCAAAGATTCAACTTCCTTTTCTGTAAAATGTGAATAACAATTGCTTGATCTGTTGTCTTAAGTTAGGCTCACATGGAAAAGTTCTTTGTACACTCTGAAATGCTTTATTATCATAACTTCAGATTAAGAGAAGCGTATTATTCATGCTTCACCAATGATCAAGATAAGCTTACACATAATTTTACATTCTTGATAAAAGTCACAATTTTTCACCTTGCATACTTAAAACAATTTCCTGTGAGCTGTTACATTTGAACCATTTAAGGAGTTTTGCTCTCATACTCCATCTGGAAGCACTATAGGATTCTCAAATTTGCAAGCAGACATGCCTCGTTTCAGATTCTGGCTCTACCACTCATTAGGTATAAGACTTTGAGCAAATTTCTTAATCTTGTTTCAAGTCTCCATTTTCCTTGGAAAGGTGATCATATTTCCCACTTGATAAAGTTGTTATGAGAATTAAGTGAGATAGATTTTTAAAAGCACCCAGCACACAGCCAGCATCAGTGAACGGTGGCTATTTTATGATACTAGGGAGGACAATGCGTAACACGAGGAACGCAGATGACTGTTGACACCTGACCCAGGCCATCCAGTTATTAGAACCCATCTGCACCGCTTCACGGGATGCAGTGGAGACAGGTAAGCTCTTAGTAATTGGCAGTTAGCTATGTTATCAGTTATTACAAAGCTTCTATAGTAGTTAGATTTTTTTCATGCCAAATATATATAAATCAAAAAATGTATTCTTTTGTTGGCAAAGACAGCTTTCAAAATGAGCATGAATATAATAGAATTGTTTTCTGACTTCTTTAAAAAGGAGTTTGACAATGTTTTACCTGTTTAGATTTTAAACTTGGTATTATATAATGTTTAAAACTTCAGTTTTATTCACAAATTGCTACATCTGTGGTCATTCCTAAGTAAAATTAACCTAGGGAGGAAGGTATTAATCATTAAAAACTGAAATAAGTAGCAAGTGATATCATGGTCAGAGTATCTCATTCTTTTTTTTTTTTTTTTTTTTTTTTTTTGAGACGGGGTCTCGCTCTGTCACCCAGGCTGGAGTGCAGTGGCCGGATCTCGGCTCACTGCAAGCTCCGCCTCCCGGGTCTACGCCATTCTCCTGCCTCAGCCTCCCGAGTAGCTAGGACTACAGGCGCCCGCCACCTCGCCCGGCTAGTTTTTTGTATTTTTTTAGTAGAGACGGGGTTTCACCGGATTAGCCAGGATGGTCTCGATCTCCTGACCTTGTGATCCACCCGTCTCGGCCTCCCAAAGTGCTGGGATTACAGGCTTGAGCCACCGCGCCCGGCCCAGAGTATCTCATTCTTATGGTCAAAGATTATCTCTCCTCCTCTTTGCGTCTGACCGCTGGAGATTTTCATAATGCTCAAACATTTATAAACTAACCCAATGTAATTTTTCTCAAATATGTGTAATATTTGTTCATTTGGAAACTTACAATCCTCTGGCTCTTGTCTTTGTTTTCCCATTTGCCAGTCTTTTGGAGCATTTAACAGTCATTAGTGTGACATGACAGGGTGGGGAAAAAGACGTAAGAGATCAAAATTAAAATCAGTCTGACAGTCTCATACATCAGCCTTACAATGTGAGTCACCACAAGGGCTTTGTAGGAAAATGTAAAAACTCCCAAACTCTTCGTTTAAATTCTGCTTCTAGTTCTGGCCATAAAGGAGGTATTTTACAGGGTGAATGTTCGTTTGGAGTGGAAGGAGAACTAAATCAGAGGATGGTCTATTTACTGGGGAGAGGCACCCTCCCATGAAGTCAGTCTTTTTCAGGCTAAACCATGGAATTTCCTGAAGTAGAGGAGCAGAGAACCAAGCAAAACAAGAGTAAGATGGGTGGTGTAAAAGCACTCTGGAGGAGTAGGTAGGGAAAAGCAGGAGAAAATCCATAGTGTAGCACAACTCACGGTGCCAGCCCACCATGCTTCATAACTATGGGCAACTCCAACAAGACTGCGTAGAAAGGCGAGGCGAGGCGGGGCGGGACGGCGCGGGGTGCACCACAGAAGAGGTGCTAACAAGTCCGGAAGAAAATGGATTCAGGGGAATGCAAGACACACAAATCAGCAACATAACCTTAAAAATATAATAGTGCACCAGCAGCATTGCTGGAAATGGAGAGGGCTAGGAACAGACAGATTCACATTTTACCATCTAGGATTAAAAGGTGATCCTGAGCATGCTATGGAAGGTCGTGTCGGTAGTCATAGGTTAGGTCATATTCACTAGAAGGCACTTGGAAGTAGTTGTAATGCTTAAATTAAATGTTTAGTAAATTCACATATTGCTTCTTTCCCCATAGTGTATACTTAAGTAATAATAAGAAAGTCTTTTATCTTATTCAAATTTTAGTCTAAGGATGAGTAAATAATTATATCAAAAATAGGGAGACTGTAAAGTATCCATTCTCTGGTTCTCTGTACCTACTTTCTGTTGCAGTGTTTTTTCAATGTAAGGTATTCAAATAATATTTGTTGAATTGAACTAAATTGAAGGAGACATGTCTGAGCTTTGTCGTTTTACCTTTTTGGCATCTGTGTAAGTTTTGATTTCATTCTCAGATGCCTACTGGCTCGCTCAGTGTTAGGGTCATCTGGGTCAGATGCTCCTTGTGGGAAGTTACATAGTTTAGAAGCCTGGAATGTGTTGTTTATGCTAATGAACATGCAGCTATCTTCTCCACGGTGAGATTGTCATTCAACTGTCAAATAGTGCTTATCCCAGGGCTGTTTTATATGTATTTAAAGTCTAAAGAGATATCCTAAGCTCCTCTGTAAGGACTCATGAGATTTAACTATGAGTCAGTTAAATTTGTTTTTTGTTTTAAGTCATATTTCCCCATATTTTATTTATCTAAGACCAAGCACAATGTTTTCTTTATTCCCTATCTCTTAGATAGAGTTCACTTGCTGGCCAACAATAAGTTATCAGAGCCCAGTAAACAATAACCGTATTTAGCTTCCTCTCATTAGTTTGTCTGTTTTCTATCAGTCAGAGGTGTCATGTTGCAGACAGGTCAACATTGCTACAAGATTCTTTTTACCTTTGATTGCTAAGAGGGGTAGAATAGGGTAATTCAGCAGAGCGTGCTTTTAAAATTATTTACATTGGTAGTTTAAAAGCATTTTAAGAATCTGTTAATAAAGGTTATCAGTGGAACTAGGTGAATAGTAAGTGTATATATATGTTAGACTTGGTGGATATTACTATGCTCTTTCTTGTAGACTGGGATTATTTTTGCTATATTCACTCAAGAAACATTAAGTAGCTACTATGAAGTAGTTTTGGGCTAAGTCATAAGGATTAAAAAATGAACAGAGAAATTCAGAAGATATAATACATAATAATTCTAATTTTTAATTTTTGAGGCATCTCCATAATGGCTTTATGGCTTTTTTTTTTTTTAATGGCTGTACTCGTTTATATTCCAACCAATAGTGTACAAGTGTTTTCTTTGACCTACATCCTCGCCAACACTTGTTATCTTTAGTTTTTTTGATAATAGCCATTTAGGGTGAGGTGATATCTCATTGTGGCTTTAGTTTGCATTTCCCTGATGATTAGTAATGTTGAGCATTTTTTTTTTCATATACCTATTGGGCATTTGTAGGTCTTCTTTTAATAGACATTTAATAAATGTGCAAATAGAGGCAAAAATGGCATCTTCTGCAGTGAGAGAAAAAAGTCAATAGATCCTCTAAGGGACAGAATGTGTTACCATATCCACAGACAAGAACAATTTTTTGCATTGCCATCATTTATATATAAGGGACGAAGTTGTGAAATAGCCCCCATGGAATCAGAATTAGAGAAACCGGAAGATTGTGCTCTAATCAATGCACCATTTTCCAGCAAAGCGCAATTTTTTTTCTCTCTACAAACGAAACTCTTAGAACGGGTAGACTACACTATCTGTCGTTCCCATGTATGGAAGAATAAAAATGGTCACAATTTATTTGCAGCTCCTTACATCAAGAGATGGAGTCCATTGGCCGGGCGCGGTGGCTCATGCCTGTAATCCCAGCACTTTGGGAGGCTGAGGCGGGTGGATCACGAGGTCAGGAGTTTGAGACCAGCCTGGCGAGCACAGTGAAACCCCTTCTCTACTAAAAATACAAAAAATTAGCTGGGCATGATGGCGGGTGCCTGTAATCCTAGCTACTTGGGAGGCTGAGGCAGAAGAATCGCTTGAACCTGGGAGGTGGAAGTTGCAGTGAGCCAAGATCGCGCCACTGCACTCCAGCCCGGGCGACAGTGCGAGACTCCATCTTAAAAAAAAAAAAAAAAAAAAAAAAAATTAAACACAATAAAATGGAGTTGATTTTCTTACTCATTAAATCTAGACTGGTCTTGTGACTTGTTTTGATTAATAAAATGTGGCAGACATGGCCTTGTGCAACTTCTGAAGATAGTCCCCAGGAGGTCCTGCAGCTTCCACTCTTGCTGTCTTAGAAAGTTGCTGCCCTGTGAATAAGCCTAAGCTACCCTGCTGGGAAGACCACATGGGGAGGACCAAGGTGCTCCAGCCAAGACTCTGCCAACCACCAGATATGTCAGTAAGGCCATCTTATACCATCCAGTCCTGTCCAAGCTGTCAACTGACTATAGCCAATAAGTGAGTCTAAGTGAGAGCAACAGAGGAGATGTCTCCCTGAACCTAAGTGGAATTATCAACCCACAAAATTGTGAATGAGTAACTCATTTTTAAGCCACTAACTTCTGGGGTAATTTGTTATTCAGCAAATGTGGTAACTGATATATGATTTCACTAAATGGCACCTTAATTTTTCCAATTCTTCATACCCCAAACTTTAGAGTTACCTTCCCTATTCTCCCTTTTTCATATCCAGCATCTGACTTATTAGCAAGTACTCTCAGCTCTTCTTTCAAAATATATGCCAAACCTGACCATTCTTTTTGCTGCTTTGGTTTGTTCTAAGGGTTTTGTCTTTTTAAAAAATAAAAATAAAAACTTTTATAAAATGGAAACAGAAATACTATCATTTTAGCTTTAAATATACATATTTTTATTATATTTATAATGGTTACAATGTTGTACTATAATTAATTGCATAAATGTATTTTCCCCAAGTCTATAAGCAGTTTAAGGGCAGTAGCCACACCGTCCTCATTCAAGCACATCACACATTATTTTTGTAGTGGTAGTACTATGCTAGGTACATAGTAGACTCTCAAGGAATCTCTACTAAATAAATGAGTGGAAATGAAAGATAATAAAATAGCAGTTAAAGGTCTTATTAACCCATTTATGCTGGAGGTCGTAATTTTTTGAATTTTTGCATGAGTGAAAAATCAGACCTTGATGATGAGCTTGAGCAGTGGGATATAAATAACTCCCACATGTGTAGTGTTCCAATGTTTTATGCATTTTCTTGACATTGATTTTCCTAAGACTAATAGTGTTATCCTATTCCTAGAAAGCCTCTGCATACTCTTAGGTATATTCTTATTTCCTCTTGTAGCTTTTGGTAGTTTTTTGAGTATATATTTCTCTGCTACACAGATTCTATACTCCTTGAGTGATTCACCCTTGTATCTCCTATGTCACTGAGTGTAGTACTTTATACAGAGTAGGTGTTAATG